AAGCTAAAAGGCTGCAGTACAACGATTTTCATCCGTCCTCATCTGGTGAGATCGAAAAACGAATCTCTTCCTTATGTACTTTCATTCGAAATGAAGGTCCTCCTAACAATATTTTGAAGCAAGCCTAAATGAAATTAATTTGCTGTTTGGGGCCTCCTAATCTCATTAAGCAAAAGCTTAAGCCATCTTAAGCTAGAGAGGGTGACTAGAATTTTGTTTAAGATGTACCGAGAGCCTAAAAATCCCACTCAATCTGAATACAATTAAACATTTACCATAGCCCATACATTCTTGCTGATGTGGGGTCGCTTACCAACCAACCTTACACTTACTAGTCGTTTGATCTTGTTTTTGCAACTTTGTTATATTGGCAGGAAGACCTAGAGGAACAAACATTGTCCTGGGTCCATAGTATGCATCATAACTTCCAGGGTCGGACTATGGAATTGATACAATCGCAGACATTTCGCCGGCATCATCAGTGAGCCTTGTGAGCCTTGTCAGTCATGGCCCCACACTACAACTCGTCAAATGACCGATGAAGACTCTAGTTCTTCCTGCCATTATGGCCAATTTGCGCAAGCCCGATCAAACAACTTGTATGCAACGAAAGGAGACTGCAACCATACAAGATGTCACATCATTTTGTTCTCCATACCTTCGATTCAGCCTAACACTTGGTTACAGTTGCCCTGTCATCAAAATAGCATCACCACTCACCTTGTGATCCTTACAGGCCGTCTTCATGGGCTCTATAGGATGCCCGGCTGTGTGATCGGGCAGACACAGGCAGCAGAGCGCCTGTCGGCACTGAAAGCAGAAGAGACCGAGTGGTTCATTGGCATGACGAGCACACAACTCCAATTCTTGACGCTGTTGTTTCTCGCGTAGCACAGCCTGACCCTGGCTGGCGGAGAGAAGAGTGTGTCGAGCCAAGGGTCCCCTGGCCGGATGGCACTGAAGCAGGCAGTCGGGACAGTAGAAGATCTGGCATTGCTCACAAAAGTGTACCGCCGGCCTGGCAGACTGGCCAGACTGGCCAGGCCCAACAGAGGCTATGAGGCCTGACTCGTCTGCCCGGCCGGCCGAAGTCGCCTGGTAACCGGAAAGATCCCCGGGCTCCGGAGTTGGCTGGCAGAGCTGACAAAGCTGGATCGGTGCCAGCGTAGCGACGCCGGCCGGGGCCAGAGTGGAGGCGAAGGAGGAGCGAGGCGATACCAATCGCATTGTGTCCGTCTCGAAAGCCGTCAACATGGAGGAGGCGTAAGAGGAGGAGGAGTTGTTGGAGGATGAGGAGGTGGAGGTGGTGGTGGCGGTGTTGCTGGGGCAAGCGGTTGCCGTGGCAGCGATGCTGGCGGCCTCGGACACCTCGAGACAGACTCGAACTCGCTCGATCAGACGCGACAAAGCATGATTGCGTGGCAACGCATCCGGTCCCGTGTTGGCCGGAAATACGACCACGAGTCGTCTCATCGTCTGACAGGCAGCGCAAGCCGGACATGCGAGCGCCAGACGACCTCGCAGTTCGGACGGACCCACCTCTTCACCGATTGGGTTCACAATGTTCACCGGCAGGTCGACGGCAGACGCGACCGAAGTGGACGAGGCCGAGGAATGGGCAGAAGCGTCGGAGGCTGCACCATTGGCCGGTTGCCCCCCGGCGACGGTCAGGCCCAGCCCGGCAGTCGGGGTTGCCATGGCCTCCAGACAAGGCGGCAAACCTGACGCATCTTCGATACCCGTTCCAGCACCGGTACCGGCACCGGCACCGGCACTGGCACTGGTAGCATTGCCGACGAGGCCGACCAGTTGGCCAGTCTCTGGGCTCGTCTCGCCAGTGACGAGGCCCCGCTTCGGCCCGCACGGCAGTACAACACCGGAGTCCGTCTCACTTGACAGGCTCACCTGATCCAGATCTGGGCTATGACAGGCGCCACGGGGACCGGATTGTGAGACGAAGGCGTTGGGATATCGCAAATGATGCTGCTGATGCTGATGACTGTGACGATGCTGGATTTGCTGTTGCTGTTGCTGCTGATGTTGCTGTTGTTGTTGTTGTTGTTGGTGTTGCTGGAGGATGAGTTGATTCTGGTGTTGGTGTTGGTGTTGGTGTCTAGGGTGATGACGGTGGTGGTGGTGGTGGGCTCCGAGTTGCTGTCTTTGGCTGCGATGAGACGAGGAGCCCGAGGATAGACGAGCTCCGGCCTCGCCAGAGGCACCGGAGTCGAGGCCGCCGGAGCTCGGATGACTGCTGCTTTGACCGGAGGAGCTGGCGTTTGAACTGCCACTGCCACAAATCCCACCGACTCCAACGGCCGAGGCGACTACGCCTCCGTTGGTACTGTTGCCGCATACTGTGAGCCGGGCGAAAATGTCGTCGCCCAGTTGGGCTGCTTTGGTGGCGCAGATGAGACACAATGAATGCCCACAGGGCAATAGTACAGGCAATTGGAAGAACTGTCGGCAGAGAGGGCAAGTGATCTCGCCTTCCAGCTTCCTGAACGGGTGTTGCTGAGGCAACTGGTTTTGTGTCATCGTCATGACGTCGGGATGAAGGCGTCAAGTAGTACGTTAATCCACAAAACAGGGTTCATTTACACAATTCCCCAGACAGGGTCGCAAACAGAAATGGCCGATTTCAGGTTGTAAACAGACGACCAACATTCGATAGAACGCGAAAAGCGACACTCTTAAATCCGAAGTATTGAAAGTCAGCTGAATACATCACTACCGAGAACCGATCATCTCATCATGATAGGAAGCAAAAATAAGCATCACAATAGTCACCTTAACCATCTCGCCGCGTGCAGTATTCGTGAATGAAAACGTTTTCAACCAATCAGATTACGACTTTATAAATTCACCTACTTGCAAAGTAGTATGTATTAGTTAGGCTAATATCCTCCAGTGAAAATCTTTGGGTTTAGAATTTTTATATGAGGTTTATTCATCCTATTTAATTTAGGTAAATAAAGGGATTAATAGTTGAAGCTTCTCACAATGCTATGGCTAGGTATGACGTTTTCATTAAAATTAACATAGTTTTGTTTATTTTTAGTATTTAAGTAGAGTTTCGAGACTACCAGTAAATCAGTAATATGAGATCTATTCATCCTATTTCGTTTAAGGTGATGAAGGACTGGTAGTATAATTTACTAACACAATGATATGAGTAGAGCTGACGTTTTCATTGAATTTCACATAGCCTTGCTTTC